CTCCTCATACAGTTTCACAATATCTCCAGAAACAGCCACCACCGCCAATGAGGTGACATGTGCAACAGTGATGATGATAACAATGCAGTTACCAGGCTGGAGGGCCTTGTCTGTGCCAGAGACCGAAGGAGGGACTCTACATGTAGAAGACTTAATTTCATTGCCCCAATCTCTTTCCAAGCAAACGTTCTTTATCTCACTTTTAAAAATGGAAACACCGAGCCTCAGAGAAATGAGGTGGTGTGGCCTAGGTAAAGTGGCAAAGCTAGGATTTGAATCCAGCTCTCTCTAACTGCAAAAACTATATTCTCTCTTCTATATCATACTGCCTTAAGTAGTACCCTCATGTCTTGGGTGAATTACTATCATCTTGCCAAGATTCATGCCTGTAGTTGGCTAAGCTGGTGATAGCCTCAGTCTCTAGGCTGCTGGTTGTGGCTCAGAGGGGAGGCGCCCTGAGTAACAGAGTGGAGACAGGAATCTGGGGGACTGCTTGCCCTGAGCGCCCCTCCCACCCCTCCCAGCCATCTGCAAAAACTTGTAATAATAATTGCATCTATTTGTCGAGCAACTGCTATAACAGGTACCATCGAGGTGGTTTTGCATGCTTTATCGCTAATCTCTACAGCAATTCCATAAGCTGGTATATTACCCTCACTTTACAGATGAGGCTGGGAACAGTAAATGACATGTCAAAGCAAAACAGCTAGTCGGGGGGAGTTTTCCTCTTAATACTGTATTGCCTCATGGCCGGAGCCCAGACCCAGTTTGCACGTCAGAGAAAAGCTGAGGGTGGTGAGGTTATCAATTAGGTGACTGACTATTCATGAGGTGGGCAATCTGGGAAAATCAACCACTGGAAGGTGGGGTGGGACAAGGAGGGTAGAGAGACCCTCATCACCTCAGAAATTCAAAAGAAATTGCCTAACGTCGTAAGAGCTATGAAAAAATATTTGGGTTTTGTTCCTGGAATAAACAGCTTTGAATCTGTACTTGAACGCACTGAGAGGATTGATCCACCCGCATCTGATGTATATTATTAAGCACACAGGTCTCACTCACTGCCTCTGAAACAGCCCCGCGGAGCCTGATTCTCCAGCCATTAGCTTTGGTGAAAGATTCTCTTCAGACCATGTATTTACACGGCAGGTGATGTTATAGGAACTCTCACAGGAGTGTGGCCATAGTTACATGAAATTTTTAAATACGTTTCCCAGCTCTAGTGCCCCTACCCCTACACATCCTTCCCTCCCCTTCCTATTCTGGAAGTTCAGCTCTTACACACAGAGCTCTAATGATCCGATAATGCATTTGGGTTAATACACCCTGGCTCTTGAACTCCAGGGCAATGACCTGAACCCCACCTATTAATCTGACTCTGAGGGGGTTAACAGTAGAGCTGTTACAATCATCCCTTCCACTGGGGAGAAGGCGAGAGTTCAAGACTAAGAATAGCTGCACATCTAAACAACACGCAGCCTCTTCCTATCTGTCGGGAAGACGAGGCCACACGTGGGTGTGCTCCTTGCTCACGTGGTGTCCCTGATGCCCGCCAGGTCTGTGGATGGGTCCTTAATAATTAATCCTGGGCCTGCTTGGCCAGAAAGTGCTTCCTAATAACCTTCTGTCAATAGTGGTTTGAATTAAGACCAAGTTGTAAATGCAGCAGTTTTCAGTTGATTGCCTTTGGGTACCTCGCCCCTCCCTGTGTCCACCTCCGCAGCAGGGCCCCAGGGAGACTATACAAGGGGAGGGACCCCATCCAGGTTGCCATGGGTGAATTCTGCCCTCCTCCCCAAACTTTGTGTTGAAGTCTTAACCCCCAATACCTCAGACTAAGACTATTTGGAGATCTGGTTTTAAAGAGGTAGAATGAGGTCATAGGAGTGGGCCTTAACCCAATAGGACTGGTGTCCTTTTAAGAAGAGAAGACTGTGATACAGGCACAGAGCAAAGGCCATGTGAGGACACTAGAAGATGGCCATTTACAAGCCAAGGAGGGAGGCCTGAGGAGAAACCCACCCTGCAACACTTTGATCTCAGACTTCCAGCCTCCAGAACCTGTGGTGCAGGCCGCCCATCTGTGGTGCTTTGTTATGCAGCCCTAGCTGACTGTGAACAAGGGTACTCATCTGCAAAGAGCAGTGTTTCGGTACAGACAGTGGGGGTGGGTGGAAATAACCATTATTTAGCAACGTCTACAGGCAGAACACTCCCCCCCCACCCCGAGATCTCATTTAATCCACATGGCAGCTGGAGATGCTCATACCTCCCTAAGAGCAAGCTCTCTCTACAAAGGCTTTGTGTCCACTTACTTTTTCAATCATTGAAAAATTTTCAATTATAAGAAAACTGTGAATCTCACCAGTTGTGGGACATTTGGGAAACACTGAACTGGAGACTAAGAACTGAAAAGAGAAAGCGGTGAGCCCAAGTCTAGGAATCAGAATTTGGTCAGAGCCGTGCAACTTCCTGGGGAAAAGGAAGACGTCTCTCCCACAAACCCAGAAGGCTGGATTCTCCTTTCAGGGTTAGTAAACACACTGAATCTTGTGCACAGAACCTGCAGGGAATCAAGAGCTCTGGCTTATGACCACTAGAGCAGAGGGTTTCAGTGGAGTCCTGGTAGAGAAGAGATGACGGAGTAGAGAGAAGGGAGAAGAGAAGAGGGGACAGGGAGGGAGAGAAGAGAGGGATGGGGGAGAGGAGGACAGAAGAGGAAAGAAGGAAGGAAAGGAGATGGAGGAGAGAGGAGAATGATGGGAAGAGAGAAAGGAAAATAAAAGAGAAGGGAAGGGAGCAGAAACGGAGTAAGGATGGAAAAGGGAAAAAGAAGAGGAGAGAGGAGGGGAGGATGCGGGAGGACAGGAGAGAGAAGGCAAAGGGGATGATGTGGGGCTGGGCCCTGCCTACCACTGGTCCAGGCTGGGCAACCGCGAAAGGCTGCATGTGGCAGCTGACAAATCCAAGCCCTAACCCCAGAAAGGTAGGCCCAGATATGGGGGCATTTTAGCACATGCATTACCTGCAAACATGCAAAATAAATATTGAAACCTCTTACTGAATGATGAGGAAGAAAGTCCTAAAGAGTTCCTAGTGCTCAGAGAAATTATTAGTGTGAAATCCACAGGTATTAAAACAGATGTAACTGGCACAGTTCCTTAGGTGGGATTTCTTTTTTTGTTGGGTTTTGGGGAATGTAAAAATACGTGTAAGGGCTTCTGTATATTTCCTCCTGATCTTGATCCCTTGAATCCTCTGGCTACTTTCTCAAACTGAGCACCTGTGAGGGGATGGAAAAATGAGCAGTTGATACATGAGGTGAATCTCAACGGAGGATCAATTTTACTTATTAGCGAATCATTTAAAACATGCTTTATGTGAATGTAAATGTGGATATTTACATGGTGCAAAATTTTATCTATGCATAGCGTGTTATCTTGGGCAAGTTACTTTAACTCTTTTAGTCTCAATTCCCACATCTGTGAGAAGAATCCATAAAGAGCAGGTGGGAAGTGATGTAACATATGTAAACTCCCAGAACTTAGCAGGTGCTGGACAAACAGGAGGTCCCTTCCCTTCCTCCACCCGCAGTTAGCCTTCCTGAGAGTTTCCACAGCTTTCCTCTTCTCCACCATCTCACAAATATTTTCTCTCAATCATATGTCTATATTTCTGTTTACTGGAATTACACGTGTGCTTTTTAAGAGTAGGGACGGTATCATCTTTCTTTCCGGTTCCCAGACCTTGGCACCATGCTGGCACAGAGTAGGTGCTCATTAAACAGGGACAAATGAATCCGTCAAACATTTCTTTTTCAAATACTCCTGTGATACCTGTGACACCTCTCGCAATATGAATTAGCTCCCTTCTCCCTCCTAGAATAAGAGCCCCTTGACGTCCAAAGGTAGGTCTTACCCATCCTTTTATACCCTGGTTAAGTAGTGCCTGAGAAGAAGTTGTAGGGCCTCAATCAATATTTGCCAAATGGATTTTACATTGATTTGAGATAGAACCAAAGCTAATATTGACTGGGTTCCACCATTGGCATGAAAAATAAAAGAAGGCGGCTCCACAGTGTAACACTGGAAATTGCTTAGTCCTACGGGCTTGGCCGAGTCCAGACTTGTCCAGGCAGACTCAGCTGATGAGCCCGTTCCTGGAGTCCGATCCCAGAGCACAGTGGAATCTCCAGGCCACGGAGGGGCAGAGGAAACGCCTCAGCGGGCAGTCGGTCACTGAGAGCAGTGGAGGCCGGCTTCCCGGCACCTCATAGCGTTTAGGTGGAGATGATTTCCAGGCTACTGAAATGGTGTCCCCTCAGCAGCCTTCTAGAGTCTTCATTCCTGGCAACACTGGTCTCTCCCTTCTCTGTGCTCTTGCTATTGCTTGAGAGAAAAAAAAATCCTGCAGTTTTCCCCCATCACAGGGTGGCTCGCTGTTTGTGTGTTTGTCTTACTTGGCGGTTGCCACCGGGGCAGTTAAAAAGATGATCGGGCTTTCCTGTTAAACAGGCACAAGCTCTCATTTCTGCCTCTCGCCAGCTACCAGTTAAATTGCCCTAGGCACTGACTTTACCTCTGGGGCCTCAGCTTTCTCACATGTAAAATGGGCATAAGAATCCCCACTTTCCTGAGACAAAGTGTGGAAAGTGCTTAGCACCAGGCCTGGCACAGAGCAGGTGATCCATAAATGGCAACCTTCCCTCTTTTTCCTCTACTTGCCCTCTTTGGAAGGAAGAGCCAAGCCTGACTATTTTTTAAGACTCTCAAAGATCTTATACAGAGCCTGATAAAGGGTAGATGCTCAGCATTTATTTTTATAATGAATGAAGGTCAGATTTTATACAACATTTTCCCCCATGCCTCCCCACCAAGTGTCATGAAGACCCTACCTCAGACTGCCCCTCCTAACAGAAATGCAGCCTGTGGTAGAGTAAGTGTGGAAGGAATCACATAAAAATGCAAATAATTCAAATAGGTTGTGCAATTCAAGGAGAATTTTTTTTTCTTGTTGCAAAGCAGGTTTAATTATAATTACAGTTTAAAAAAAGATTTCCAGTAGAGAGTCTGCAACTGAGTGTCTCAGGTATTTAAAAAAAAAAGTTTTGGAGAAGAATCCAGGAATGATGGTTACTTTCTCTACACAGACAGAGTGGCAAATCACCTCTCTCGGCCATCAGCTCTGAGTTCCTTGCTTGTGAGCCCTTTCTCAAAAAGGAGGGGAGTCTGGGTTGTTGCAGAAGGTACCAGAAGCCAAACAAGCTCCTCCCAGCTCTGCTCCTTCTCCATACCTCCCAGTTTCCAGGACCCTGCCCGAGCAGTGAGAGGACTGGAAGCCTAGGACAGCCTGCTACCACCACCACCAATGCCAACACTTCCCTTCAGGAAGTGAGGGCTGAGAAAAAGACCTCAGAACAATGGGCGTCTTCCCTGACAGCCCTCCTGGTCCACATTGTACCTGAGCCCCTGAGGGCTAATGCCCTGCCCAGGACCTCACAGCTGTAAGCAGCAGGGCCGGGGTGGGTGACTGGGAACAGGGATGCAGCCACCCAGTGAAACACGGCTGCCCACCAGCAGCGTTTAAGGCGGTGGGGTCTTTCCTGGATCTAGTCTCTTGTGTTGTGCGTTCCCCTGGCTCCAGGGCGCTGTCTGCTGTGGTGTGCAGAGCACTGGACTGGGGATCAAGACACAGGGGTCTGAGGACTGGCTGGCCAGGCCTCCACCTGCTGTGTGACCCTAGTCAAGTCACTGTCCCCTTTCACCCTCAGTCTCCCTTCCTGTAAGTGAAGGGTTGGGCTGGATGACACTGCGTGAAATTCCCCACAGATGAATTTATCTGATCCAGTGAATGCCCATTTACCCCTAGCAGGGACCCTGTGTGAGGCTTGGGACCCAGACGGTTACCTTGTTGGTTCTCAAGTAACCCTGGGAGGTGGGCTCCCCTCTCCCTGCCTTGTAAGAAAACGAAAGCTCATAGAGGTCAGGGGCATCAGCCTGTCCAAGATCACACAGCTAGAAGACAGTAAGCAAGCTGGGTTTCAGGAAGGAAGTGAAGAATGGGAGCATTTGGAGCCCAGAGCAGGCTGGCCGGTGAGGCATCCTGAGGGGGACATGTGTGGTGGACAGTAGGGAACATGCCGCAGGCCTGGGCTGAGTGGACAGAGCCCCGATGTGAGCCCCACAGGCCTGGTCTTGAGTCCAGGCTCTGATGCCCTTTTGCTGTGTGACACTTGGAGACATCACTGTGTGTCTGAGCCTCAGTTTTCCTCTTCCTTAAAATGGGGATAACAACCTCTCGTCGGCCCATCTCATAGGCCTATCGAGAAGATCAAATGAGAAAATGGGTCTGAAAGCAGCTGCTTACAATTCTCAGGAGCCAGTGCCTCATCACTTACTGGTTCTGTGTCCCCTGAGCCTCAGATTCTCTGCCTGTGACACTGGGACCCTCAGCCCTGCCTCCCAGGGTTGTGGTGGGGGTCGTGTCGATGTCTGAGGGTCAGACCTGCCCGGTGCTCCCTGTGACAGGATAGTTGTTGTCAGGGACACACACTGCAGGGGTCGGCCTACAGGCAGGCAACTGCACTCCACGTTTCCCGAGGGACGTTTCCAGGCAGACATGTCCTGCAGGCAGGGCCTCTGCCACACCTGTTACAGGCTTCTTCCCGACCTGGCCCCTCAGCAGACAGGCTCTGGAGGCTGGAGAGCTCCTTTTCTCTTCTCCTCAGGACCTGGGGATGTGTCTCTGCTCTGACAGGGCTGGCTCACGGTCTGCCTTACCCACATTTCTAGAACCTTCCAATCGCCCTTCCTGGAGCAGCCCCCGGGTCCCAGGAAGGCAGGCACTTTCTCCACCCCAGGCCAGGCTGTGTGTGGATGGGGTGTGTTCAGCAGATGCCGTGCTCGGGGAGACGGGATTCAGTAAAAAGGAGAGAGGCCACGGCAACCGCAGGCCCTTCCAGTGCTTCTCTCCTGGGCCAACCAGCACCCCGGCCGGCACTGGCTCCTCTCCACGGCAAAGCTGTGACGCACACGGGCTGGTTCTGTTCCCAACAGGGCACCAGTTTACCGAGGGCACGTCTGTGTCACCCCGAGCGATCTGGGGATTGCTTCCGCACAAAACAGCACAGGCATCTGAGAGGGGAGGAAAGTGGGGCCCTGAGCAGGGAGAGGGTGAGGGAGGGAGGGGACGGGGGAGTCAGGCAGGGGTGCTCAGCCCTGGTTGTTCATTAGACTCAGCTGGGCCCACCCCAGGCCAATAAGTCGGGACTTCTGAGCCTGGGCCTGGGTGTTGGTACTTTTCCACAGCCACACAGAACCCTCTGCCTGAAGGGCGCCTCAGTCACACTGAGTCCTCACAGGCACGTCACCACAGGAGCATTAGTCCTGGGCTGGGTTTGAACCAGGTCCCTCTGACCCCAGACTCCATACTACGCTGGCTCCCAGAGGCACACCCAGAAACCCAGGCTCAACACTGTCCGCACACATGTACCACAAACGATGCCCACCGAACCCCTCCACTGCCCGCAACCTCTGGTGGCTTCATTTTCCCAGCTGGCATTTCATTTTTATGTTCAGGGCATAAAGGGTCAACAGCTCCCCCCACAAGCAATTTCTCCTCTGAAGTAGTGAAATAGCTGAGCAATTTGGGAGCCATTTAAAATGCATTGTTTGGCTGGGGGACCCTGAGGGGGTGGGGGGAACTCGCCTTCCTTTTCTCCTAAACCCTGATGTAGAATGTAGCAGCCTTCCCACAGGATTTTTTTTTCCCCAGAGTCTTGTTAGTGGTTAGGCCGGAAGCCCTTCCACGTGCACTGCGCTCCGTGCGGCGGGACAGGAGACAGACACGTTGTGGACCATGCAGGTGACCAGGAGCACAGGCTCCGGGCTCGTAATGGCCCAGGTCAAACTTGGGCTCCAACCCTTTCCTGCTGCGTGACCTTGGTGAGGCCCTGAACCCTGGCCTCCTCTTCTGGGAAAGTTTACCATGATTAGGCAAGAGGCTGATTACAAAGGCTGTTCACTCAAAAAAAAAGTAGCTGTTATTATGAAACACTAGAGATGACTATTATTTGACTGCTGCCCTAGTCTTTGTCTTCTGCAAAGCCAGGCCCTTCAGTGAGTATAGGAACCACTGGACAGCGAGGACAGCATTGGGCATTCTAGAGAACTCTTCTCTCTGGATGGCCTGGCCTCCAAAACACCATCTATGCGGATCAGGATAAGAAAATGAAATGTAAAAAGGGCTGATACCCAGGCCCTACCATCAGAAGTCCTGGCCCCGCTGGCCCGGGTCAGCACAGGCTGAGCATCCTAGGGTATTCCAGTGAACAGCTGGGCTAAGAACCTCTGCTTAATTCTTCCCCTCACTCTTCCCTTCTCAGCTTCCGCCTCCTCCCTGCTCAAATGGGTGATGGTACGGAGGAGACCATCCCCAGACTGCTTAGACAGACACGAATGTGCTCTTGGTAAAGTGAGGTGAGTCGGTGGGAACTGACTCAATCCATCTCCAGCCACATCCTTCTCTCCCGGAGGAACCACTGCCACCCCATTTTCTAGCCACATCTCCATGCATTTAATTGACAAGTACACCCTGAGCACCTACTTCATGTCAGGCACTGGGCAGGATGCCGGGAAGGTGGTGGGTGGGTGGTGGTACCGTCCTGCCCTCGAGGAGCTGCCATTCTGAGCAAGGAGCTGAGAGTGGGAACTTAAGAAGGAGCATGGTGTGGGGACAAAGAGAGGAAAGCATGGTCAGGATGAGAGCAGAGAAACAGGCAGTGGTCAGATATTCATGATACAAAAATACCCATGGAAAGGCAGAATTACATGGCTTTGGCCTTTAGGAACATGGCTGCCAGAGCTGAAGTGCCAGGGTTCAGATTTTGCCTCGGCCACTTACAAGCTCTGTGACTTCAGGCTACGTACTTAATCTCTCTGTGCTCCGGAGTCCCCGTCTCCAAATTGGAGACAAAGCTAGTGCTTCTTACTTCCAAGGTTTTTTGTGAAGATTCAATTAGTTAGTTCATGCAAACCACTCAGCAGAGTGTCTGGAGCACATTAGGTAGTATATCAACATTTGCTATCATTATTATAATGGCTGTGGTTCAGCCTCCTCACCTACAAAATAGGATAACACATCTAACTCAGAAAGCTTTTGCGAAGATTAAATGAGAAAGTAGAGGGGGAATCCTTACGACACTACCTGATAACACGGTAAACAGGCAATTCAAGATCGCCATCAGCGTTTCCATAGTTAATCATCATGTTTTCTGGGCAGAGGATACTCCACATCTTGGAGCCAACTCGCAAACAACCAACTATAGAGAAGTGGGAGGGGCTTTCTCAGGGTTAGCGCCCTTCCACCCGGAATGCAAGCCCAGCGCTGGACAGCGCCCTCTGCAGGGCGGCTGGAAGAGGTGCCTTTGCAGGCTAAGAGTCTGTGATGCTGTCTCTAATCTACCGATTCCTGTCCATCTTTAAACATGTTCACAAACCCGTCCTCGAGGCTTTGTCCCAGACAGTAATCTTTTCCTTCCTATTTTCTTGCGATAGCAAAGAGACAGCAAATCCAGACATCTCCTGCCCCAGGAGCTGACAACGCTTATAAAGAGCATGTCATTCAAGGGCGTAAAGTGGTCCCCTCGTGTTGGCACCCCAGCCTTCTCCACCCTCCCAGCAGAAGGGACACCAGTGGCCCTGCTGCACCCACCAAAGGCCCAGGGAGGCTAGTGGGCAACTTCCCAGGCAGCCACCTCTGAAGACAAGGACTGAGAACTAGCTAGGACTCACAGGGTCTCCAGAAGCAAGCGGTCGCTCCTCTCCCCTCTCTCTCTGGGTGCAGTTCATTGGCGCCCTCTAAAAATAGCAGTGGTTATTCAGGGAAATACACCATGCTCTGTCTCTGGGGATGCCAGCACAGGCCTCTTTCAAAAATAGAACCCCAATCAGGTACGATTCTTAATTCAGTGTCTCTTCCCACCAGTCCCAGAAAAAGTCCTTCAGATAGATCCAGAGACAGGCCAGCGGCCCCGCCCCAGATGCTAGGGAGAGTCTGAGCTGGGGTTCTCACGAGCTTGTCTCCTTCCAAATCCCTTGTTTCCGCTTTAAAAAATCCATTTTCTCTTGATTGTAAAAGTAATATAGATTTATTCTAGGTATTATGGAAAACATTAGAAGGTAATCTCGCCATCCAGAAATAATCATTGATATTAGTCTGTTTTCCTCTCTCCTACCTTCTCTGTGACTCACACACACACACTCACTCACACACACATTTATTTATAGAACCGGTATAGTGCATCTTATGTCTTTTTTTTCCTCACTGAATGTCACATCAAAGGTATTTTCCTATATCACTAAGTGTTCTCCAGCATGAGTTTTTAATGTGAGTATAATATGGAGGTTAAGTACACAGGTTCTGCTTCAGAAAGATCTGGGTTCAAGTCCCGACTCTGTCACTTACAGGTTTTATGGCTGTGGGCAGCTACTTGAACTCAGTACGCCTCAGTTTTCACATTTACGAAATGGGGTAATAATAGTACCCATCTCAGTACTATTAGGAAGGTAAAGGGTGGGATTTGCTTCGTAACTGCTCAGTAGATGCTTACAATAATAACCCCACCACTGACAACAAGCTCTCTTGAACTATCATTGAGTTCATGATTCTGTGTTGATGGATATTTAGCTTGTTTCTAAAGCCTGTGTTCTCCCACCTCTCCTTCCATCTCAGGGAAGTTCTGGAGTTCATGGAGGGACTATGATGGTGGCGTTCTGGTTACAAACCTTGCAGATGAGGAACAGATCAGCTGGTGGATCGTGGGTGGGGGATGTGGGGGGAGGGGAAAGCTGGCAAAGGCTTAATCATGTGATCTCTCCAGGAGACCTGCTTCTTGACTCCCCCACCAAACCTCACAAACTCTGGGATGATGGGCAGCGCTGGGCTCCCTCCACACTCTCCCTCGCCTGGGTGAGTCAGGGCCCCACACCACCAGTCTAAAGCGGTGCCTGGACAAGGGGTTGCTTGCTCTGATTCTCAGCCAGATTCCATCCTGATCACCTTTCTCCTCCAAATCCAGTGCCCTAGGAAGTTGAAATATCTTTTTTTCCCCATTTGAATCCTTTCATTGTGCCTAGAAGTATTACCAGCTGGGCCCTGATAAAGAGAACAAGGCTCAGAAAGGTTAGGTGACTTCTTTGTGGTCACACAGCTAGTCATTAATCAAGCCTCAATGAGAAATTTGTTATGGGCTGAACTGTGTCCTCCTCAAACTCATATGTTGAAGCTCTAGCCTCCAGCAAACCCAGAATGTGACTGTATTTGGAGAGAGGGCCTTTAAAGAGGTAACCAAGGTAAAATGAGGTCATGTGGGTGGACCTTAATCCAATCTGACTGGAATAAGAAAGAAGGAGAGATTAGGACAACACAATCAGAGGGACAGCCAAATGAAGACACAGTGAGAAGGCAGCCATCCGTAAGCCAAGGAGAGAGACCTCAGAAGAAACCCAACCTGCTGGCACCTGGATCATGGACCTCTAGCCTCTACAACTGTGAAAAAATAAACGTCTGTTGTTTAAAACACTCAGTCTGTGGTATTTTGTTACAGCAGCCCTAGCACATTAATACAAAGCTTAAAAACAAAACCCAAACTGAATAGTTTGTAAGGTTACAAAGTAATTTCACGTTTTCTGATTGTTTTGATTTTACCAGTGATCTTGGGAGGCAGAAAGAATATTTTAATCCCAGTATGGTTGGAAATGTAAAGTGCTTGGCCCGGTGCCTGGAAAGAAGAGATAAGTGGTTATTCTCACCTTCGAGCATTTGTACCTGCCGTGGATTCTAAGAGGAAGACTTATCAAGAGTGGGTGGAAGCCACAGGAAGAGAGGTTACAAACGCCATCTAAGGAAGGTCTGCCCAAGGCTGCAAGGGCCACTTCAGGAGGGAGGGCTCCCATCACAGGACACAGGACAGCAGAGGCAGGACGACTGTGTACCACCGGGTACCACACTGCAGAGCAGTGCTCCTCACCATGATTTTAGAGCAACAGCAGCAGCATCACCTGGGAGCCTATCAGAAATGCAAATTCTGATGCTTTACCCAGACCTGACCATTCAGAAACTGGGATGAGGCTCAGCAATCTATTTTTTTTTTTTACAAGTCCTCCAGGTCATTCTGGTGCACAGTGAAATCTGAGAACTCATGGGCTACAGGAGACTTAGGAATAGACAGGCAGACTGGAAAGGATGAGGTGGCCTTTAACAACCCTTCAGAGCCAGAGATACCGAGATTCAGGAGGACACTGACCTCTCCCTTTCCCCTTGTCTTTCAGAGGCCACGGCCACACAATTTCAGCTGAAATAGCTGGGGTTGACTTGTTTGAAGTTGGGAGAAAGCTGGCCAGACTCCCACGGCAGCTAGTGTCCCCTCAGGACATGCTATGGGAGCCCCATCAGTGCTGGAAATGGCTTTGGAGATTTAGTATCTGAACAAATCTGGTCCAGAGGGGGCAGGGGTCATCCAAGGTCACACATCAGAGTGATGCAGGCCAGGCCTTCTGGGTTTACTCTTCGTCACTGTGTGGCCATGCTTGAGGTCCTAGAGGGATGTGGGCATCCGGAAAAACCACTGGAGGAAATTTTTATTTTCATCCCACTGCTCTCTGGCTCAGCTGGCACATGAATGCCTCTCAATTCCAGGCTGATCATTCTTGACAGAATGTTTCAAAGTCAAGGCCAGGCAGAAGAGGGCAAAGCTGTTGCTCCAGGCTCAAGCACAGCCTCTGAATTTTGTGCCTGTCAATGTAGTTTCTGTCCACATTGGAGGATTATCCTGCCTTGGAAATACCTCCACCTGGAGCATTACAAGTGACTCATGCTCTGGTCGCCCCAGCACTCAGAGTCACCCGGGAGAGACGCTTGTCAGACCAGGTTTAATCAGTCCTGGTAGGAAGTATGCTTGAAGGACGGGCACTATTACGCTCCACATAGCTTTCTGACTTTATGGGAAAAGGCGATCCTGCAGAGGGTCTGTAGGAAGAAGCCGTCCTTCTAACTGCTGCGGCAGAACACATCACTAGGGCTCAAGGACACAAGTAACTCCAGAAACCGGATGTCAGATGACACACAGAAAATGATCTTGACGGGAAGACGGCTGGGAAGTTTGGGCCTAGATACTTGCTGGCCTATAATCTTGTGGGTGGGCCTTCAAACTTGCATTTCTCACAGCAATGCTGATGCTGCTGGCCCAGAAACCACATTTTGAGAACCACAGGCAAGAGTAACCTGCCTTGCTTTCCTCCTGGGGTTCTAGCACTGGCCCCTTTGGAAGACCTGTGTGCCAGGACAGTTTTGCCATCCGCATGGTGTGCAGGGGCCTTATCTCTAAGTCTCTAATGTGAGACTAACAACTACTGCCTGTAGCTCAGAGCGGTGAGGCTCAAAGGGAGAAACCAGCAAGGCAAGAGTTCTAGACACTGTGAAGACCATTCAAATGCAAGGGGAAGCAAACACTTTGTGGGGGGGGAGCACCTACCATGAGTCAGAAGTCAGGATATTGACATGAATTAAGCAGAATTCCCACCCTTAGAGCACCCAGGGGTGCATGGGGAAGACAGATGAAGGAACCACTGATAGAGCCGGTGCCGTAGCAGAGACCACAGTACACTGAGAAGCAGGGATAAGGGACTAAGGGACATGCATGTGGCTTGAGTTGGATTTTATCCTCAGGGCAAAGGGAAGCTTTTGTAGGGTTTAAAGGTGGAAAGCAGCCTGATCTTATTTGTTTTTTGGGAAGATTGTTGTGGGCTGGAGGACAGATCATCCACTGGGAGGGGCAAGGCCAGAAGCAGAGAGGTAGGAAGACAGTGAGGAGGCTGCTGCGGGGATGCAGGAGGGAGATCATGGAGAGAAGTGGACGCGTCTGGACCAGTCTGAGAGATTAGATGTGCAGGACAAAGAAAGCAGCAGAATCAAGAGAGTGCCCAGGTTCCTGGTTCACTGACTCAGGGTGGGGACTGGAGGAGTGGGTTGGGGTGGAGCTGATGAGCCTCTGCCTCCTGGCTGTGTCACAGCCATGAACAGACACCCTGTGCCAGGAGCCACTGCCACTCTGGCTGCCAGGTCTCCCCCACTGTGAGGAACTTTGCCCCATCCTCCCTCCCCACGCCCTGGCATTACTGTTCTCTGCTGCTCTGACATGCAGCTGTGTCCTTTCCTTCCACAGAGTCAGCACAGAAATGAACAACAGTAGCAATCAGCAAGCAATCATCTTTTCCCTTCTTTTCTTATACAATGCCTGGGTGTGCAGATAATGTTTGTGATCGTTGCAAAAATGATGGAATGAAAACTGGGGCTCCTGCCAAAGAAAAGGAGGGAAAAACCAATTTAAATAAACTCAAGTGGTTCAGATCCAATTTGAGGCTTCCTAAACTGGGGCCTGCTAAGGTTCTCTGCCCTTCTGCCCTGCCTAGGGTGGGCAATGGCCTTGTGAGACCCTGCCAGGGCGGGACAGCACACAGCAGTGGCCTCTGGAGGCTCTGGGAGTTGGTCCTACAGGGGAACTATTCTAGCATCTGCTCTGAGCTCTGGGCATTAACAATGGGCAGCTCTCTGGACCTTTCACTCCCAGCTTAGCTCCCAGACAATGGAGACAGAGGACTAGAGGAAGACAGCAGACTAGAGGAGACCTGCAATGATAAGCTATCTCTATTGCTTTGTTCCAAGGAGAGCTGGCTGCATCCCTGACTCTGCTAAGGGCTTTACAAGCCTTTTGCTTTATTTAATCCTCCCTCACAACTGTCCTGGACAGTGGGTATGATTAATCCCATTTTACAGAGAAAGGAAATGGAGGGAAAAATTAATTATTGTCTCAGAGCTAGGAGACAGCACAACTGGGATTCTAGCCCTGACTGCTTGATTCAAAAGCCCATGATTGTGAAATGAGATAATCAAAAAGACAGATAATAATAAGTGTTGACGAGGGTGTGGAGAAATTGAGACTCTCACATATTGCTAGTGGGAACATAAAATGCTACAGGCACTTGGAAACAGTCTGGCAGCTCCTTAAATGGTTACATATAGATTTACCATATGATCTAAGAATTCCTTACCTAGGTATACGCCCAAGAGAAAGAAAAACGTAGATCCACAAAGAAATTTGTATATGAGTGCTCATAGCAGCATGATTCATAATAGTAAAAAAGTGAAAAGCAACCCAAATGTCTATTGACTGATGAATTGATAAATAAACTGTGGTATAGCCATACAATGGAATTCATTCAACAATAAAAAGAAATGAAGTACTTTTTGTATGTGCACAAAGTACACACTAAAACATGGAATAACCTTGAAAACATTATGCTGAGTGCAAGAAGC